GGGGGTTACTGGGGAACTGGTCAAGAATGCCGCTTTTACGCTCTTTTTGGAAAAATTACATATTGGCCGATTCAAAATTACTTCACATTGGCCGCCCCTGGATGAACGTGTTCGTTCGTGTTTTGCAGAAAGTTGCAAAAAATGGGGTCACTATTTACAAATTTAATCAATTTTCATGGATTTTATAATAAAATTTACAAAAAATAATACAATATATTGAAAAAAAAATGGATTATAATCGATTATAATGATTTAAATGTTTTCTTTTCAAAAGTAGTCGATTAAAATGGATTAAAATTACATTACGTTGTCTGAGTTTGCCATGATAACCGATTATAGAGACAACATTTCAGTCTACTGAAATCCAATAAAATCGAGTTTTATCCATAAAACTTCGGTGCGGGACCTCTATGGAACCTCTCTGATAATTTTTTTGTGGTTTTAATTTTTTCATCTAAAACTTTAAAACACATCCGCAGACAAAAATTTAACCATTTTTAGTGGTTGGAACAACAATCATTTTTCATCTTCATAAATTTGACCTAAATAATCGTATTGATCAACTCATCAAAAAGCATGAAAGACTAGGACGAATTCAAATACATTTTATGCTTTAATTGTGTGCAAATTTCATTTTTTTTTTTCAAATCGTCGTTATGATTCACAAGCTATCTTCACTGATAAATTGAAAAAGTAAAGCAAAGTGAAGTGATAAGTAAACAAGATCGCTCGTATCAGGGCGAAGCCCTGAATTTTCCGACTGCCTATTAAGGTTTATGGAGCAGTAATTACATTAAAAAATTAAAAGTAATAAAACAAAATGAAAATTTTTTTTTTTAATTTGAAATTTTTTTGATAAAAATCATCCCCCCACACGCCATAACAAAAGGATAAATTTCGCTACTTGTAACAAATCAACTATGGCAAATAAGCTTCGTTAAACCAAATTGGAGCGATTTCTAAGAAGGATTAACTCAAAGATAGTATGTTTTTAGATACTATGAAACTTTGCAAATAAAACGTAAGGCATTCGCAATTTCGAGACATCAACTGATGGAATGAAAAAAAATATTCTTCACTTTTGCTTTCTGGTCGTTTGCTCTGAAATTAACGAAATTTTTCATAGAAAATTATACAAATGATGGATTAGAGTTTTTGAGCAAAACGATAAAATTGATTTTTACAAGGCATTGTTTGACCATTTTCAAACAAAGCTCCTCAGATAGGTTTTCTGGATGCCCAGGAAGCTCTGTAAACAAGAAACTTTAAGAGGTGTTTGAATTTTTGGACTCCAATTGAAGAAAAAGTAAATCACTGTTTGGTAAATTACTAAATAAGCTGATTACTCATCAATCAAATTTGTTCGAGAATTTATCATGCTTTTCGATTTTCAGTTTTAGGCTAGGAGACAATTATCTTAGTTTCAGTTTTAGGCTAGGAGAAAATTATGTGAGAGCCCTTCTATTATAAAAGATTTTCCAATGATTATTTTTAAGAACAAAAAACCAAACTCATTGCGCTATGTGGCCCCAGCACACCTCTAGGAAGAGCTTTTTGGCGGGATGTTTTCCCGTTTTGGGTAAACCACGTTAAATAACTTTTTTTTCAACTATGTTTTCAAGCTATGAAAAGGAAACCAGACTTGAAGGCGAAAGCAAAATTACACGGTAATTTTTTTGTCGAGAGTTTTCATCCATCAATAAGCTGTTGCTATTTTGGCGTTCAGAAAAAAAACCTTGGAAATAAATAATTTTTCTTACGTTTTCAATTTACGAAAAAATCAAAAAATCATCTGCTAAAAATACACAAGAAAAAAATCATAAAGTTTATTCTAAGTTAGTGAGGGTTGACATGGCAGGGTTTTCACTGAAAAAAATTGCCATCGCAAAATGTTTTCTTAGATCAGATACATTCAAATAGTAACAGCTAATTTTTTTCAAATTGTCTACCTTCACATGTTTTCCTCGAGAGGGGGGGGTGATTGATTTTCAAAAAATTTTAAATTTTGGAAAGTTTCGACGACTTTTTTCTTTTTAGGTCGACCAAATTGATTTTCCGAGCTCTTCTAAAGCACTAAATAGACGTTGTATTGACCAATTTTTCTGAGCCGCAGGCATATTTTTGAAAAAAAAAACAGTTAAAGAAGCCGTTTTTGGGCACTTTTTGGAACATTTTGGCAAAAAAATCACGTTTTTTTGGTGCGCGCACCCCCCCCCCCCCCCTAAAAGCATATTTTGACGCCCAAGGCGCTTTTAATAATATTTTAGCGTCGGTCGGGCAAAAATGGATTTCTGAAAAAGTACCCTTTGGGTCGGCAGGGGGTCGAATCCCTGAGGGGGGGGGGGGAGGGGGCGTCCGCTTACACGCTCCACCCCTAAATGCGCCCCTGTACCTACATACTCTGTCTTATTAGATATTTTGTTATTTCAATGGATGTCTCGCCTGCGACCTGTGTTGTTCAGGAAGCTTAACAATTGGCTCTTTCTCATTCTATTCGGCAGTCTAGAAGCAGTAAACTTAGCCCCACAACACTTATCACGGGGCAATTTTTATCACATGGAAAATTAAATTTCAGATTTCTAGTTGCCAATTTCTAGAGCCCCCACCCACTAGTTTGATTAAATCGTGGGTCAGGCTATGATTTGCTGAAGAAGGAGGGTGTTTTTAATGATACGAAAGTGTTGAATTCAATCTTTTTCAAAAACATACGAAAAGAAATCAACTAAACAAAGCAATTTATCTATATTCTGAGTAAACTTCAATTTTGCAAATCATTCAATGAGTAAAGAATAGCTGCATCACCAGGCCAAACTGTGCACTGTATAGGCGCACAGTTTTGTGTTTGTTTTTTCCTGGATTCCAGAGACACGTCATTAAAGCTATTAAAAGCTTGGCGGAATGGTCAAAGAGAAAGAAATAACAAAAAAACAAAGGGAGTGTCCTTGTTGCGGAATCCGTTTACTTTACACAGAATCCACAATTTGGCCTCGTAATGGTCCCAAAAAGTAGTTTTGCTCGCAAAAATAATTATCCGAACCCAAGCAGTTAACTTTTCAGCACAGCTCAAATCGGGAAGCTAAGCTTAATATTCGATTAAAAATCTAAATCTCTAAAAAGTCAATGGAAACTAGCCAGAGTTTTATTGATGACCCAGAATAATTGATGGAATAAAGTTGATTCTAATGACAATATTTTCTTTCATAGTTGATTAACTGATATGAGCTTTCAAAAATATTTTGACCGCATCGGGTATTTTCTTATTCACCAACCTAAAAGTTTTCCCCAAACTAAATTGTTGTTTACTGTGTCTGAATCCTCAAAAATAACATACAATTAGTGCGAGTTGGAATATTGCAACGATAACTCAGACTGTGATGCGTACCAGTCATGCGAGGACTCTACCCATCTGTGTGTTTCAGGTTATGCATATCAATTTGTTGGAAGTTTGAGGATTAACAAAAAGTTTGTCGGTCACTGTACCCCTCTTCCCTTCCATTCATTTGCGCCACCAAACTTTCAGCTTTCTTTTTTCGAATCTTTTAATCGTTTTTAAAGATAGCAAGACAATTCCAAATATAGGCTTATTAAATTGCTTCTAAATGAAAAGTTTTTGCATGGGATTTGGCGAGAGTTTTAGCATCGAAATCTAAAAACCTGGCCATCAAAGCCCCGTTTCCTTTCTCAAGCGACAAGCTTTCTATTTTTTCGTTGTGTAAATTACGGAAAACTATACGTTGGTTTCTGAGACGGACTAAATTTCCGCTTACGCGCTAATAGCGCGAAATATATCGCGTGTTAATTGTCACAGATTGGCTAAAAATGCAATCTTTAAACCCCCATAACTTTACGAAAAAAAATATCAGTTGAATTTTTTTTTTCAAATTTGAGCTCAGGCCAACAATAGCTTTCTAAATATACAAAAAATATATCCCTCAAAAATGGCTAGTTAAAAAGTCGAAAGCTGTCTGAATAAAAAAACCCCACCCGAGCAGAAATATTCCGTTACTTTTGTTACGAAAGTCGAAACAACAAGCTGTAAACTTAAGAAAGAAGCTTTCGAGACTCAGTGGTAGTTCATAAATTCTAAACTAAAACATGAAATAATTTCTCTATATAAGTATAGACATTCTGTACCGTACCTCACTTTCTTCAGCCTTTGAATTAGCCTGTGGGGGATTTTTGTCAATATTTTGACTTTTTTCATCTTCTCAAGTTTTCGATTAAGTGGATAAAATAGGTTGTACAAGCTCCCCTGCATAGAAGGATACGCCAAATGTATTTTTCACAAAAAGTAATGGCCCTGAGATAAGTTATTATTTTTTGTTCTTTGAAACTTTTTGACGTGTCTCGAAAACCACCCTCCCAATTGTGAGATTTTCAGTTCAACCAAAAGAAAGGGTTGAAAGAAGATCCCATTAACGAGTAGCTGAAAAACAAACTTTGTGTGAATCACAGTTTTTGAACTTTTGAAATCATTCATTTTATTCCGAATCAGTACATCAAAAAGAATTCAAAAAATTTCATAAAAGAACCTCCAGCTTGCATTAGGCCCACAGTTTAAGTCACAGGAGCTAATTGAAGTAGCAGGTTGCCGTTGAAAAACGCAACATAATGATGATGGATGATTGTGAATCATGATGTTTTTATGATGACCTTGATTTAGATAATAATTTAAATCAACTACAAGAAAAAAAATCAAGGCTGAGAATGAGTCATTGAGATCGAATTGGTTCTAGTTTTTGACATCTGACGAGTTCACATGCGATTAGCAGAAGGTAGTTCCTGATTTTTCAACATCAAAGGGAAAGATCAGAATTAGGAAGAGGATATAAGAGCAGGAATACCTTCAAAAAAGAAGAGAAGTCAGATGATCAGTATGAAAAGAAAGCTGGAGAGTCAAGTCAGCTGTACCGGGTACTTTGAGAATAGACGGTTGAGAAACAAGAAATAGCATAATGAAGCATAGAGATAGCATAATAAACTTAACGAATTAAGAGATCCCAAATCAATCGACTTCTTTCTCGTGAAAGAAATCAAATGAAACGAAAGTTAAAACAAAAGCGACTTGACGAAAAATTATTTCGGTATACACCTTTCAGAGCAAACCGATATTAAATCAGAGTGTCGAAAGGTGATGCTTATAGCCTTAATGGTGAGAGCAAAGGTTGAAAAATTTGAGAGATCACAGTTACCAAAACTTTTCATTAAACTTTTTCTGAGAAATAGCAAACACGGAAGACAGTGAAAAATAGTTAGACTTGACTTGGATTCCTTATGTCAAAAAATGCAAACACCTGAAAGAATGGGCATAACGTATTGTTTTTTTTTGGTACTCAAGATGCAGGGCCTTACCCTAATACACAAGCAGTCTGACTTTTTAAATTTTTTCTGCAAGACGTTTCTAAACCGGACGAAGTCAACGCTTAGGCTATTAGTCACCCGGGATGACCAAAAATGCTTATCATACATTTCTCATATATGGGAATTTTTTTGTCATACAATTTCAAAAATTAAGTCTTATTTTTTCCGTTACCAGCCTGTTCAACTGTTCTTAAGAAGCCGCAGAAAAAGTTCAGTTTTTTTTCTGTTTTAGTTTCGAAAACGTATGAAAACTGTATGACAAGCATTTTCTCCATACACTTGATGTATGGAACTGTACGATAATGATTTTTGTTGTACGGAAATGTATGATAAGCATTTTCGGTGTATGGAGGTCAACCCGAGCAAATAAAAAAAAGGATAAACTAGCGCTTTAACATTTTTTAACACGAATTAGCCAAAAGCGGCAACTTTTAAACGTTTTTTTTTTTTGATCGATCTGAACTGATTTTTTTTTTCAAATCGAGCTTAAAGCAGCAATAACCTTCAGTTGCATTTAAGAAGTTAATGAAAAAAATCTTGTACTAAAAACACCATCTGCGCGTACATTCCGTCATTTTGGTTGAAAAGCGGGCTCTTTTCCAGTTCCCCCCTTTGAATTTCGATTTTAAAAAAGTCTATTTAACGTTGTCATAATGCAATGAAATTTTGCAATGAAAAATGCAAACACCTGAAAGAATGGGCATAACGTATTGTTTTTTTTTTGGTACTCAAGATGCAGGGCCTTACCCTAATACACAAGCAGTCTGACTTTTTAAATTTTTTCTGCAAGACGTTTCTAAACCGGACGAAGTCAACGCTTAGGCTATTAGTCACCCGGGATGACCAAAAATGCTTATCATACATTTCTCATATATGGGAATTTTTTTGTCATACAATTTCAAAAATTAAGTCTTATTTTTTCCGTTACCAGCCTGTTCAACTGTTCTTAAGAAGCCGCAGAAAAAGTTCAGTTTTTTTTTCTGTTTTAGTTTCGAAAACGTATGAAAACTGTATGACAAGCATTTTCTCCATACACTTGATGTATGGAACTGTACGATAATGATTTTTGTTGTACGGAAATGTATGATAAGCATTTTCGGTGTATGGAGGTCAACCCGAGCAAATAAAAAAAAGGATAAACTAGCGCTTTAACATTTTTTAACACGAATTAGCCAAAAGCGGCAACTTTTAAACGTTTTTTTTTTTGATCGATCTGAACTGATTTTTTTTTTCAAATCGAGCTTAAAGCAGCAATAACCTTCAGTTGCATTTAAGAAGTTAATGAAAAAAATCTTGTACTAAAAACACCATCTGCGCGTACATTCCGTCATTTTGGTTGAAAAGCGGGCTCTTTTCCAGTTCCCCCCTTTGAATTTCGATTTTAAAAAAGTCTATTTAACGTTGTCATAATGCAATGAAATTTGGCGTGGTGAACAAATCGACAATTCTGAACAGATTTGTTCTTCATACTTTATAGCGTAACATCACGCATTTAGCCGTAATAACACGTAAAACAAACATAATACTCGGTATTTTGAAAGGGGGGAACTGGAAAAGAGCCGAAAAGCGGAATATTAATTAATTTTTCGCCAGCTGAAACCGAAAAGTTGTTTTGAATTAATTTTGAGCTCAATTTAAAACGTGTCCCACAAAATTAAATTCATGAGCTACTTTTTCAAAAACTATTATTAATTGTCCATAATACAAAAATATGTAAGTTTGGCACTTTTGCAACCGACTTCGACTTTCGAAAAATTTTTGAGCAAATTTTTTTTCAATATGTATCAGCGAATTGCCTTTAGGTTTCATGAAAAAAGACAAAATAAAAAAAATGAGGTTTTCTCAATCAATGAAAAACAGTTATCATACAAAAGCCGACTGTGACATTTTTAGTACAAAAGAGCCAACTTACCAACAAAACTTGTATCAATATTCAACCTACCGAATGTCATATACTTTATTATAAATACGCCAAAAAGGTCAACCTACAAACTTATTGTAATTTATCAACACTAGCCAACTGGTCAGCTTACAAACACTAAAGTTTATTAATACTTCAAGTCTTAGAGTTTGCGAATAGTCGGAACGCAGTATCTGTTTCGGCACTCACTGTGTGGCTCGCGGCAATCTTTGTTCAGGTTGCAAGACTCTCCGTTGTTGGGGCGACAATGAGGTGTGCCTTTTTTCTGGTAGCAGTCAATTTTCAACCCTCACACCAGTATTCTTTCAAAAGTTTAATCACCACAAAGCTCTACCCTCAAAAACACGTCTTTCTTGCTTTGATTCTGTTTGTTTGTTTTCATAATTATAAGAATAAATTTACTTTTTGAAAACTTTTTGAAAAATCAGTAAAACTTTGATGATATGAACAATAGTTTATTGACCAACAAGTTGAATTCTCCGGACAATTCATCCTCCAAAAACTCAGTTGATTATGTTTTTAAACAACATGTGCTTAAGTATTTTTTCAGGTGGGTAGTTACTTTAGCACCCAAAGTTTCGTTGGAAAACAAATGCGCTGAGGAGGGAGGGAGTGAAAACTGGTTACTTTGTAGCAGAAATGAGTGACAGGGCAGTCTGTGTCGTCAACACACTTCACCTTCTGGTTTTTCGTACTTTTATTGCTATCGGCCAGCTGAACGAAAAGTGCAGACACGCTGAGAACAGCAAAAAACATGGCGGACTTTCTCATCTCTGAAATAAAGCGATGAGACTTTTCGGATACATCAGAAAAGAATCGAGCAGGAAAATGGTGAGAGTTTTAGGGGCTCATTTTTTGAATTGTTATTTTTTTTGTGTTATCTAAATTTCTGTTTATAAAACATCAAATATCAAATAAAAAGCAACTGATCACTTCACAAGCTAAATTTTTATCAAAAACTCAAAAAAACCGGCAAAAAAAGTGTCAAGAGCAGCTATATATAGTTTTTAATTTCATACGATATTCGGATAAGACAATGACAATTTTGAGCTCGACTTTATCGCATCGCAGGTCAATTTAAACGCTGGTTTTTTGTAATTTTTAGGGCTGGCTAAAGTTTGATATAATAACTATTTTGGATTTCTCCAAATAAATATTATGTAAAGACTGTTTGTTTCCTTCCCTTTTTTGAAATTTTTTGAATCAGACTCGAGAAAAAAGGCTGACTGAAAAATCACATCTAAATGAATTTCACGGCCTGTTTTAGAGTATTTTGCCATGTTTTTTTTGCTAATTTTTGGTATTTTT